GCAGAACACAATTTGGGGAGAAATTTGGGCCGGGGAGTGTGTTGGGGCCACCCTGAACATCGTAACCCAGGCTGGTGGAGGCCAGAGTGGGACTGGAATGTTGGTGACAGGCTGCTGGGCCAGGGCTGTAGCCGTACACAACACTCAGGGTGTGACCTGCACGCTGGTAGGCTGTTTCTCAGCGGCCCAGGTTAGGAGCTACAACAGCAAAGCATTGTGAGGAACCCAGGATTACAGGGCAGGTGGTGACACAACCTTTCAAGGGTCTGGATTGCACCCCCAGAATGTGACACAAGTATCCCACAAATTCAGTTGATCTCTGAATGTGTTTTCTGTCACTTGTGCAGGGTTTCCAGTTTCCAAACCTGATGTGATCTCCTGGCTGGAGCGAGGGGAGGAGCCATGGGTCCCAGACCTCCAGGACTCTGAGGAAAGAGAGACCCTGAGAGATGCCTGCACAGGTGAGGAATCAGTTAAACCAACTCAAAATCTGTCCCTGAATTAAGGAAATATTTGGGATTCCTACGAAGCCCTTGTGAGCTCTCTGAGTTCAGGATTGTTTTAAGGAGATGTGGCATCCTCATGGCAGACTTCACTTACGGCTTCCTACCTGTCCTGACTTATGCCTGACAATAGCTCCCTCCCCAGTCTACTTTCTCCCTGAGTGTTTGGTTGAGATTTAGACCCAGAATTGATCCCCTCCTCTCTCTCCTTTGGGGAAAGGTTTGGGGGAGATTTAGCTCTTTCTTTGTTTGATCTCTCCATCACTCACTTTCGTTTGTTCCCCCCTTTCTTCCATTCCTCTCCCTGTGGTTCCCTTTTTCTCTGGCAAAGGGAGTGACCTATGTCTGGTTTCTCTCTCTATCCTAGCAGATGATGGGATGGCGAATGAGGAGGCGAATCCTCAACAAGATGATGCTGAGCAAGTAGAAGCACATGGGACGTTCTCAAAAAGATCCAAAGGGAATGTTTCCTGGAGTTGTGCACAGGCAAACAACTGTGAGAGTCAGAACAGATCAGAGAAAAAGTTCAGTAGAGACTCAGACCTTACTAGACATGAGAGAATCAACACAGAAGAAACACCCTACATCTGCCTGGAGTGTGGGAAAACCTTCAAACATAACTCAATCTTTATCATCCATCAGAGAATCCACACTGGAGAGAGACCATACGCATGCCCCGAGTGTGGGAAAAGCTTCAGTCGCAGCTCAAACCTTATCAGACATCACAAAATCCACACCGGGGAGACACCCTACACATGTCATGAGTGTGGGAAAAGCTTCAGTTGGCACTCAAACCTTATCGCACATCAAAGAATTCACACGGGAGAAAAACCATACATATGCCCTGAATGTGGGAAAAGCTTCAATCGGCGATCAAACCTTATCACACATCACAGAATCCACACAGGGGAGACACCCTATAGCTGCCCTGAGTGTGGGAAAAGCTTCATTTGGAGCTCAGACCTTATCAGACATAGGAGAATCCACACAGGAGAAAGACCCTACTCGTGCTGTGAGTGTGGGAAAAGCTTCATTCGGAGCTCAGACCTTATCGGACATAGGAGAATCCACACAGGAGAAAGACCCTACTCTTGCTGTGAGTGTGGGAAAAGCTTCATTCGGAGCTCAGAGCTTAATAAGCACCAGAGAATCCACACTGGAGAGAGACCCTACAGATGCCCTGAATGTGGGAAAAGGTTCATTCGAAACTCAGAGCTTAATAAGCACCAGAGAATCCACACTGGAGAGAGACCCTACAGATGCCCTGAATGTGGGAAAAGCTTCATTCGAAATGCAGATCTTAATAAACACCAGAGAATTCATACTAGAGAGAGACCCTACAGATGCCCTCAATGCGGGAAAGGCTTCAGTTATAGCTCACAGCTTGTTTCACATCAGAGAATCCACACAGGAGAGAAGCCCTAGTCGTGCCCTGTGTGTGAGAAAGGCTTCAATTATGGCTCACAGCTTGTCTCACATCAGAGAAGCCATACAGGAGAGTAACACTATACTTGTATTCAGTAGGGCTGCCCAAAGATTTTTTGTTTCTTTTTTTGTTTGTTTTTGTTTTGGTAATACGTTGGCTAATTCCTACATAGTGGTCTTTAAGCTTGATCGCACCATTTCCTGTACTGTAGTCTCTCAGCTCCCCCAGGTGAGTTGCCGCCGTCTACCTTTTGCAGTTCAACCTTACTTTGGGGTGAATCCTGTGATCCTTTCTATCAACTCCTTTGTCTTATGAGTTATGGGAGGATGTGTCCCTCTTGACAGAAATGTCCATCAGTCCAAGTTGGGAGAGAGAGGGTTGACCTCATCTAGCTACAGTGAGATAAAAATGATCTGTTCCTTGTCTCTACTAGAATTGTACATCGAGTTACGCCATGTCTACAGTACCACTTATGTCGGCAAAATTTATGTCGCTCAGGGGCGTGAAATAACTTTTATCATCCGCTCTGTTGCTTGCCTAGCAAATCCTGCATTCTCTTTTCTGTCCTGACTTTTGGCTTCCCAGCACTCTTTGCGTAATCTGGTCTCTCTCTCATCATGCTGCAGCACCTCCCTGAACATGTCTTCCTTGGGACTTCTCAGCTTCTTCCTTATATGCTGAAGCCGGTCGGCAGGGGTGTGTACTGTGTTCCTCAAGGTCTTGGCTGCTGTGGACAATGCACAGAAGAGGGATTGTTACGTTCCAGCAAACGACTGAAACATTTCAGTAACAAGAGCCTTTTGCAACTAGTAGCAATCACTTTCTCTGTGACACACAGCTCCGCGAGCACCCCAATCATGGTGAATGTCAGGAGTGGGGGGAAGGTGGTTGTGTGTACAGACAAAACAGTCACGGCTTGCAGGGCAGATTTGCAGGGAACCCATTCTAAAATTATCACACACTTTTTCACAGGCGCACTATTTCCCCTACATACTGCCATACACCAGCCCCTTTTGAGTGAGCTTTTGCTTTAGAATTCCTTAATCTGAAGAGGGTAAATTACATCAAATAAACTTCACAGAATTAGTCACCATTTCATATACTACTCAGGGGAGGCAGGGGACAGAAACATAAGAATGGCCAACTGGGTTAGACCAATGGTCCATCTAACCCAGTATCCTATCTTCTGAGAGTGGCCAATGCCAGATGCTTCAGGGGGAATGAACAGGTCAATTAGCGAGTGATCCATCACGTATCATTCATTCCTACCGTCTGGCAGTCAGAGGCTTAGCCATCTTGACTAACAGTCATTGATGGACCTATACTACATAAACGTATCTAATTCTATTCTGAACCCAGAAAACTTTAAGTGTTACAAAGTAATTCAGATTATCACATAGTCAGTCTCTTATTCTGCAATAAACTTTGTTTAATTCCATTTTCACTGGTAACAACATATTTGAAGGCTACACCATTTAATCATGTGTGTTAGTTTTCTCTTACTCCCCCTTTCCACCAAGTGAGCTTGTGTAAAGTTGTGTTCTGTAGTAACATAGGTGCCTTCTATTTCTGGGAGCTCATTTATCTCTGGGTCTTTGGTCGTAAGTGTTGGTGGATGACAACTCAAATGGGTTCTCATCATGAGAAAAAAGCACTTGTATTCTATTTTCACAATTTTAATATTTCTTTAATATCGAGATGGGGGAGGAGGTAATGTAGAGGTAACTGTCTCTTATTTTATACCTTCCCCCTCTCTTTGAGGATTCCCCCCCTCACTGGTGTGTAGACAAAACAGTCCCCAGGGTGTGGCCATTCAAAGCATCTTTCAGGTGAATTATAAATGTCTTGTTCACACCTTCTGGGCACATGACATTTGAGACTTCTTCAGGGATGACATGCATATCCATTGCTTACAGTTCCCCTGATGGTGACTGGCCACTTCAGTAGCTAATAGTTTTCCAACCCCTGGGGTCAGTCCTTTGTTGACACTGTGGAGTCAGAATTACAACATACTTCAGTAACAAACATATTGTAAAATCTCATAGCGCCACTGACAATGTTGGTGCACACGTTTTAACAGGAAAATGATATTCAGTAGATTATGAGTTTTCAAATGATACCTCACAAGGCATACTTTGTACAAAACCTATCCTAACCGTAGAACAGTGGTGAATAT